CGCGACTCGGCCAACAAGCGCGCCGACAAGTGGGGCGGCTCCGTCGAGAACCGCGCCCGCTTCCTCCTCGAGATCGTCAAGGCCGTCGTCGAGGAGGTCGGCGCCGAGCGCGTCGCCCTGCGCCTGAGCCCCTTTGCCACCTTCCAGGAGTCCTACTCCACCAGCCCCGACACCTGGGAGCAGACGGCCTACATCGTCCGCGAGATCAAGAAGGCCGGCCACAAGCTCGCCTACCTCTCCCTCGTCGAGGCCGTCGGCAACCCCGTCAACCTCGGCATCGTGCCCCGCCAGGTCACGGACGACGTCCAGCCCTTTGACGAGGCCAAGCCCCAGACGCTCGACTTCATCCTCGAGGAGTGGGACAACATCTCCCCCGTCGTCGTCGCGGGCGGCTACCTCGGCGACAGCGCCCGCTGGGCCGTCGACGAGCGCTACGCCAAGTGGGACGTCGCCGTCGCTTTCGGCCGCTACTTCATCTCCAACCCGGACCTCGTCTTCCGCGTCAAGAACAACGTCGCCTTCACCCCTTACGACCGCACTACCTTCTACAAGAAGAAGAGCAACGATGGCTACAACACGTACGAGTTTAGCGAGGAGTACAAGAAGGTCAACGGTGTTAACGGCTCCGCCTAAGTTTTTTGTTGCTAAAAGATACTGGAACGGGCCGAGGCTTGGAATGGTATAGAGGATATGGGCATTTACATGCATAGCATTGGAGTTTTTGGGTTTGGCATGATAGAAGATCTATGAGGGTCGATATAGATATACATGAATACAACTTCCTTTTTGTCTACTTTTACGCATGCTGGCTCGAGGGTCACAGGCTTGTTTAAACACTTCTTGGGTCCGGTGCTAATTTGTCTGACTTACATCTTTGTTCCTGCATAATGTTGCCTGGCACTGACGGCGTTGCTTGGTAGCAGAGAATCTCGTCGTATTGCCGACCTGGCCTACTCACTTGGGGATGCCCTGGTTCGGTCTAGATTGAGCTTGGCATTTGCCAACATTCACTACGAGATGTGTATGAACAGAGTCATCTTGCAACAAGTGAATGCCGTAGAACCACGGTTTCCAAGGCTGAGTCTAGAACGTGTAAGGGTGGACAATAATGTAGCTTCATCACGATGACCCTCAAAACTGATGAGGCGCTCTTGCTTTCTTGTTGCGTGCTACTCCAAGTTGTCGCTGATAGTGTTGTGTGATTTGTAGGCTGTAGCTCGCCTAATGCATCGATGGACCCGCAGGCTGCCCATACTGAAGATACTCTTACGGATGTGTAAAGTAAGTAAGGTGCTGCGGGATCAAATGTGACATTGTAGGTCTGGTCGTGGTTGTCAACGCCAAAGCAATGAGTGAGGCGTCAGGTCGTTCTTCATCAAGGATGCTATCGCAGTTGTCTCATGCAGACAGCATCGGATGCCACCGTCCATTGCTAGAGAGGCACGGAACAGCCTCGACGGCAAAAGAGGAGCTGGAAGGGAACAAATCGGCGCCTGTGTGGAGCAAAAAGTCCGGTCGGCCGGAGAAAAGACGGATGACCTGTGGTCCAAGCGCCCACCCGCCTTCCAAGCGAATTTCGACCAAAAAGATCACATGACGCGGTAGGAGGGCAACCGAACCCTACCAAAAAGTGCGAGTGGGGCGATTGATTCGCAGAGAAGCGAAACCTCCAAGCGACTGCAGCCCCAGCACCCTTTCCAAAACTTCGACACCACCGGCAATTCAGCTTATTCGCCTTCGATAGACCGCATCGAAAGCGAATTCCCTGGCAACTCACAACCCGCAAAGATGGCTGACGACCCCGAATACGTACGTGCGAATCTCCTCCTGTTTCCCTGAGCGATGGAAAAAGAATAAAGCAATTTCGAATGGACGCGCCCGCGACAAGGAAAAAGAATGGGGGAGGGACTTGTTGTGTGGTGGCGTGGGCTTCATCTCTTGGAACAGAACAGTTTTTGGCTGACTGGATGGACGCATACAGAACGCCGAGGAGGCTGCCGAGCTCAAGAAGAGAAGAGCGTTCCGCAAGTTCCAGTACCGCGGAATCGACCTCGAGGCGTACGTTTGCCCATATCCCACATCCCACCACCATCAATCATACTTCGCACCCCACGATCGACGAACACCACGATGATTTCATCACCATCTTCCCTCTCTCCACCTACCTCACGAGCCGAAGACACCGAGATTCAATCGCAACATATGAGGGGAACAGTCTAAGCTAACATGACTTCTCATCTATAGTCTCCTTGACCTCGACTCTGAGCAGCTCCGCGATGTCGTCCACGCCCGTGCCCGCCGGCGCATCAACCGCGGTCTCAAGCGCCGCCCCATGGGCTTGATCAAGAAGCTCCGCAAGGCCAAGCAGGAGGCCAAGCCCAACGAGAAGCCCGACCTCGTCAAGACCCACCTCCGTGACATGATTGTCGTCCCCGAGATGATCGGTTCCGTCATTGGCATCTACTCCGGCAAGGAGTTCAACACCGTCGAGATCAAGCCCGAGATGGTTGGTCACTACCTTGCTGAATTCTCCATCTCTTAGTACGTGCCCCCCCTCTCCCGATTATGCTGCTTCGACGCAGCGATATGCCTCGCAACAACTGCTAACAGTCTACTAGCCGCCCCGTCAAGCACGGAAGACCCGGTATCGGTGCCACGCACTCTTCTCGTTTCATCCCCCTGAAGTAAGGGAGAGTATGGTTGTGGGCTGTCTATGGGAGGTTCTTGCATTCAAACGGGCATCAAGGCGAAACGGGAAATGGTTTTGGTAGCAAGGCAAGGCCGCTATCATGTTGTTTGGGCGATGATAGTTCAATACAACATCGTTGTCCGCTAAAAAGTTTGAGCCTCAAAATGGGAATGAATTCAACGAAGAGATACCAAAAGTACATTTCACTCTTCCACCTCTACTTTGCTGTGACGTTTTACGATTATGCCAAGTCTCTTCTTGGACTGGTAGGCAATATTGATAAAAGTGGCCACTTTCGAGTTGATCATGAGCCCTGGTTCTCGTACGTGTACATGAATGTCATCGTTGGGACCCACCCACATTTTACTGACCAAGTGTAGATACTTCGAGGCATATCACTCTTACGACGTTGCAAAGGGACCAACATAGACAGTGGGCATCTGTAACAACGGCACTGAAAAGCACCTGGGTATATCTATGTAATGATCTATGCATCCTTTCTCATCATCCTCATCACAACTCATCCTTTCCGATCAACTTCAGCTGCGCCTTCTCATGCGCATCAAGCCTCTCATACAGATCCCGGCTCCAGTGGCTCGAATCACCCTTGTTCTTCTCCATAATCGCCTTGACCGCAACCTTCCAGTTCTCGTCGCTCACGCGGTCGGCAATCCTCTTGGACCTGTCCGCCTCGGACGCCTTGAACAGGGGCCAAACACCCACGTCGGCACCCATGTTCTCGTCGAGGAAGCTATCCAGCACGAGCTGGCCGGCCTTACGCTGCGCAGTCTCCCATTGCGCGTGCTCGGGTGCCAGGACCTCGAGGAGGCGGTCCATGCCCTTGTTGGCGATGAAGTCGTCCCGGATGGTGGGGCTCTTGATGAGGCCTTTGATGGCGGCGACTTGCGCCTTGGCCTTGTTCGCGGCGCGGAGGACGTCGTGGTCCGCTGCGTCGCCGGCACCGTTCTCGGGTGAGGAGCGCACGAACGAGGCGTAGAAGCCGTCCCGGACCTTGAGCTGCGGCGCCTTGTGGAGAGAGCGGCAGGATGAGTCCATAAGTTGTGGCCAAACTTTGGTCACCTCCTCGAGGGCGGTGGGGTTGTTCTGGAGAGCGCCGGAGATGATGGCTGCCGCCTGCTGGTCGCGGGGCACTGCACCCTCGGACGGCGTGGGTGTCTTTGGGTCGATCATGAGGCAGAAGAGGGACTTGACGGTGTCAAAGGTCTCTGTGATTTTGAGGCCGTAGTAAATGTCGTGAGAAATGTCCTCGAGAAACTCGAGGGCCTCGTCCATCGGGAGGTCGCTTCCGTGGGGCCCCTTTTTGACGTACTCGAGGCTCGTGTAGAACTCGCCCGACTCCTGCTTGGGTTGCTTCACCACGCCGACTGGTTCGTATTTTGGCGCGTCCTTGGGAATCTGCGCTTCCGCAGATGCTGCTTCGTCCGAGTCTACGACCACGATGGAGCGGTCGACGGGCAGGCCCTCGAGTTCCGGGTTCTTCTCGGTTGGGTCGTTGATCTTAGCCTCCTTTTTGCCCGTGTTGATGTTTAGGCGTACGTGGAGTCCGTGAGGTAATTCTTGATCATCGTGAACTAGCTGAAACTCTTCCGTGGGTTGGAAAATCTTGGGATAACATTCTGATGGGTTATCGGTGTGGCAGATGAGCTCTACTTCGGCTGATGGTGATGGTGCTGAGGGTGATGAGGCGGAGGGTGATGAGGCGGAGGCTGATGATGCGAAAAAGACGAGGCCGAGAACGACCATGAAAATTGTGAATGGAAGAAGAGACGTGCGGGTTGATCTCCTCGACGCCATTTCGACCAGTTTAAATAAGGATTTCGACCTCTGTATATTGTTGGTTGCAGAGGTGTTGAGATGGATGATATCGATGAGTCTGGCCGGGTGAACAGATGCAATCTTATCTGATGTGTAAGACCAGCTAAAAACGCTGTATTGCTGTAAGAGATTGTACGCAAGGTGGACCTCAAGTAACTTATAACTTGACTCAGTCTAAGGATACAATTTGATGCAATGAGAATTGGTTGAAGAGATGCGCGCCTTTATACACAACCGCAAGATTAGAAATGAGTCAACAGTGAAAAAGGACAGGTTACCATCGCGAAATAGAAATCCGTCGAAGTCGTCCGTCTGGCCAAGTTGTCTCCAAAAGCCCCATTAAGAGGCGATTTCACTTATTTGAATTCGGCAACCGATGATTGGCTCATCTGCCGCGGCTGGCCGCGCTTATGCGCGCTAGCGCTAATCCGCGAAAAGTGACGCTCCTCCGGCACCTTGGATCAACCTCCACCAAGCCGAAGCTCCCTCTTCGAAAGACGTACTCCCAGCAACCGAACTCCCATCGTCAATTGACACCCCGTTTCCGAAACGTCATACACGATGCAGGCCATTCGAACGCGGGCTGTCTGCATCGCGCGCCAGTCACGGTTGACTGGCCTGCGCCAATCGAGAACCTACGCCTCCGGAGGTGACCACGGCCACCACCACGCTCATACCGTCGAGGAGCCCATTGGCGTATGTTTGCGAACAACCCCTCCTTCATTGTCAATTGGCCGTCGCTGTGCTGTCAGCACTTCTATGAACTCAATTGGCTGATTTGAGACCCTGTAGAACTTCTTCTGGGCCGTCGTTGCCATTATCCCGTCCGCATACGCCGTCTACAAGATCACCGCCCCCGGCAAGGACGGCGAGCCCCCCTACCTCACCCAGAAGATCCACGAGGCGTGGCACTGGCAGGAGACATGGAAGGAGAGAAACGCGCTGCACACCAAAGCCGTTGAGCAGGCCGGTTTCGACAGACTGCTCTTCTTCTCCACCCCTGCCAACCGCGATGTCGACCTCAGATTCCCCGAGTACGCCTCCCCCTCCAACCGAGCATGCCCTTGCCAGATGGAAGGCGTCTGGCCCTTCATAATGGAAAAGAGAAAAGAATAGAAGCTGACAATTGATGCACAGGGCCGTCTCCAACTTCGCCGCCCGCAACGTTATTGCCGGTTCCCAGACCAACCTGGACCACGTGATTGCCCACTACAAGAAGCAGCACCTCGACGAGGAGGAGCGGAAAGCGAAGAAGCTTGCCGCGCAGAAGCAGGAATGAGAGTAGGCGTGGTGTATGATACCGTTACATAGATCAACTCGAGGTTGAATCAAAATTTCCAGTTCTTTTGTTACCAGTTGACCATCCTCCAGTATGTTGTGGTAGGAACAGACGAAGATCAAGAAGAGGTGCCTCAGCCTTCACTTGCTTGGTCTTTGGCGCTCTGGTAGCAGCTATGGGCCTTTCGAATGTCTTAGATGCTCATGCCTTTTCCAAAAGCAAGCCTCGCTAGCCCGTCTGCCGCCTGCCATTGAGAGACCGCATTGGGCAGATTCGAGCCACGGACCTGCCTGGTCTGCTCAGCAAGCTCTGCTTTTTGACTCTTTCCCAGTCTCCGTCACTCTATATTCAAAGAAGCCCCGTCCTCCACCGGCTTCCTTCCCATTCCTGGTGGATTTCAACTCTTATCATCATCACAAAGAGCAGGTGAGCTATCTAAGATATTTCGCGGAGATATAGCAATCCCAGGTTCTGACTTCCTTACTTAGGAGTGTAGGTAAGACCAGCAATGTCGTGCGACGCGCGACTACCGTATGGTGCCATCTCAACCCACCTTCCGACTCCCTGCCATGGAATCGTACCCAACTCTCGATAGCAGCTTCCCGCCGTGAGTCGTTTTTGGGTACTTGATAAGGTGTACCAAAGAAAGTGATCGCATCCCACACCTAGCACCCAAATGGCTTACAAGGCAAGGTAGACGTTCGTGCGCCTCCCTTCTCTCTCGTAGCTTCCTGGTATCTTCCTTCCACCACAATTTACTCTGCTTCTGCTCTCGAGCTCTCCCTCTTCTGTCGCCTTCTTTATCCCGTGTCTTCTCCTTCGACAGACTTCGTCATTCATCACAGTCCGCATTCCGCATTATCCCCAAGGCTTTCGTCATTATTCGTCCATTCTTCTTGTTAATCATCCCATCATAGTACTCGTCGAGTACTTAGACCTTTCATACACAACCCGCTACACACAATACAAGCTTTACGTCGTCAGCATTACAATGTCGCTACTACCCATGCCTCACATGCTCACCTTCATAGAAGGCCCGAGGATAGCAATGAGAAATTACCCAATCGGGGCAGCCATTTTCCAAGGCCCGGCCATGTTCAGGGTGACCAATTTCCAACCAGAAGATGACCGACTCTCCAATTTCTAGGAGGGATTGACGATGCAAGCTGCCAACGCAATCAAGGGACTCTACAGGGACTTCTGCCCACGGCTGGAGGAAGTTCCTATGTCGCGACACATAATGAACGCTATGCATCATTCAATACTTTGCGAGTTCATGAACACCATTGGATTCATGGTATTCGGAAACCATCTCATACCTCTCGACCCTAACGAGCTTCTGCCTTTTGGAGACCCGAACGGAAACGCCCGGTTCACCGGATACTACAATGACACCATCTCCGTTTTCAGAGCCACAAGGGACATCGCCATGGGCGAGGAAATTCGGATGTGTCGTCCATCGTTCATGTGTCTCTGCACGCTATGCTCTGTTCCGCCACCAGCCGCAGCCTTGCGGCTTAACCCCGCAGCCTTCCCATTTCTTTCCGCCGCTGGCAGTGCCGCCAGTGGCGGAGCGGTCGACGAAGAAAGACACGTGCAAGTCGACGGGTGCGAAGATGGCGAGGACGGCGATGATGAAGGAAGCAGTAAAAGTGACCAAGACGAGGAAGGACAGGGAACCCTCGAGATTCCAAAGCCAAATAAGGGCAAGGGCAAAGCCGTTGATATGGAACTCGATAACGGTGAAGGCCCCAGCAATTCCAGAGAAGAGTGGCAGGTCAGGGCAGAGGGCCAAGGAGAAGCCCCGAACCTCTACTCTGGATCCAGAAACAGTCCCCTTTCCTTTCGAGCAGCCTTGGCGCTACCGGCTCCGGGGTTTGCAGGGTCAAGACCTCGTGACCCTCTTACAATGACCCCGGCCATCCCGTCTACTGGTAATCAGCAGCAAAAGAAGGTCGCCAAGTCTGATAGCGGTGGTGATGCAGAACATGTTGAGGATGTTGCCAACAAAGACGGAGCGAACGATACGGCCCAAAACAAAAAGTTAGGCCGCACAGCTAGATTCAAACTGGTCTTGAGGAAGAAATTTGGAATCAAAGACAAGCGTGAGGCCGAGCATAACAAGGATAACCAAGCTGAAGGCGAACAAATCGAGGACAGCCAATCCGGCGTCAAACATACTGGTGACAGCGAGCCGGCAACCAGTGAACATCAGGAATTGGCAGATTAGGATCCTCATCCCGGCAGGAGATAGTATTGATGGGCGGGCACTTATGGCAGACGAAAATTAGAATACGGAGGTCGGCGAGTGTAGCCTCAATAAACATGCTTACAAGGGTCCTCAACTGCATTATTTACGTGCTTCAATGATACTGTTGTCAAAATACCGAATGAACAGTTGAACTTAAAACGCTATCACCACGGCGAAGTACGAAGGTCTGCAATACCCATGTGTATTGAAAACCAGTCAAGCAGTGTAAACTGATGCAAACCCTGAAGCACATGTAGTTGGTCACCCGAGAATAGCAATGGTTCAGTTAACGTGTTCATTACTGGGCATGATGCTCATAACCTTTCGCAAGCCTTGTTTCTCATCAGTGCCGTCATCATAGGACGGCGGACGAGCCACAACTAGAAAGCGGATGCTGTAAAAAAGCTCTCAGACCCACCAAGACCGTTGTGCCCAAAAATCCCCTTGCCAGTTTCTCAGCGCGGCACGACATGTTCTAGCTGTGGATATGCGCAGCTGATACGTGTCGCAGTCTATCTCCCGCAGGCACCTTTAAGATCCTCTCGGTAGCTCCATTCTCCCTGTCTGAGTTGGGAATCGACCTTTTCGGAATAGTCCCACCCCATCTAAAGCTTCAGAAGCTCATCGGGGGCCTAGAGCATCTCCACGAGGCTTCTGTTTCCCCCTTTTGGAAGCATTTGTAAGATGGATCTAAGACTTTGGGTGTGGACCGAACGGTACTCGAATCTCCCTTCCCTTCCGGGGATTATGTTACCGTGATCCGCTCGGTTGCGAGGGGGAGATTGCGCCTCCTGGCAGTAACGGCTCCCTTAGAAGCCGTGGACTTTGACGAGCTATAGGAGAATCGGGGTTAGCCATGTCTTGCTTGGGTTTATGCGGGGGAGTTGGAACGTGGACGTCTCAACATGAATATTGGGGGTGGAGTCATCTGACGTACCTTGGAGTCCATCTCGAGACCCTCCTGCTTGTCGATGAGGAAGTCGTGAATAGCCTTGCGCTGGTCACCTGTGTGTCATAATTGTTAGCTTCGCTTGTTGCATACGTAGGTGGCGGTGTATCCCCATGCTCGGAGCTCGTCTCAGCGGCCCTCGGTCGAGTCGGGTGCTTCTGCCGAGGGGACGCAAGACAGCGGCGAACGAAGCCATCGCTGCAGTGCGTGTGACGTACCCTGAAGCTGCAGAACCTCGCCGAGATCCTGGTCCTCCACAATGGTGCCGTTGCAGGCAAACTTCTTCTTTATGACCTTGAGAATCTTCTTCTGGTCGAAGCGCTTGGGCAGGCCCTGGATGGTGGTGAGGGTCTTGCGGCCATTGCGCTGCTGGATACGGATGTGGATGTAGTCCTGGCCCTTCTTCTGCTTGTCCGCGTCGCCCTCGTCCGCGTCCGCGAAGGGGTCGATGGTCTTGAGGTTTTCGATGGTAGTCATGAGAAAGAGCTTTGCGCGCAACGTCTAATGCGGTAGACCTTGAGAGAGAGATTTGTGAGGCGATTTGACGCGTGTCTTTTCGTTTAGTGTCGTTGAGACGTAAGAAGCTGGAACCTTGGGGTGGGTTAGAGGGATTGGAGGATGTTGATGCTCGTGTGAGGCTGAGGAAAAAGGCCGTGAACAGAATGGCGGGAGTTGGTGGGATGGAGTAGGGACGAGGCGGGGTTGAAAGGTGGGAGGAAAGGAGGTCCGTGCTTGGGCGGTGATGGTGGGGCCCTTTGAGCTTTCGGTGAAGTTCCATCTGAACAGTTGCGGTAGCCCAGTTGAACAACCACACAAAGCTGCACTGCCACGACTGCCGCGCTCCCACACACATACCCGGCCCCCGAAGCAGAGAAAGTCGGTGAGCTTCTCCAGCTTTTTTTCCATGGCTGCCGATCCTTGATTATCCCCCTGTTGTACCTTGCATTAGCCACATGCAAGTGTGGCGCATACAGATATCTCTGTCCTGTATTCCTAGGTAGCCAAGGGATTGGGCAGCATATTGAAGAGGTTTCTCGGTAGTTCTCTCATGATATCTCTGATATATTCTGGACCAAACAATAGAGAACAGCTTTCACTATGACAGAATTAAGCAGTGGCATAGAGGTACGCGGCGAGAAAGGTGGCCCGAAGGGCCGCTCCGTCCAAGCAACACGCCGCTTCGAGCCGGGGGACATCATTGCCCGGTTCAACAACCCGGCCGTCGTGCTCCCGCCGGGCCCACGCGCGCTAGAATACTGCAGCCAGTGCCTCACACAACAGCAGGAAGACGCCCCGGCCACGGAGAAGCTTCGCGCGTGCACGGGGTGTAAGACGGTGGCCTACTGCGGACCGGCGTGCCAGCGCGCCAACTGGTCTGTAGTACACAAGTTCGAGTGCAAAGCGATTCAGAGGCTTCACAAGACAAAGCCGGCGGACCAGCCGAATTGGGTGCCGACGCCGGTCCGGGCGGCGGCGCAGGTCATGCTCCGGCCCAAGGTGATGGAGAAGTTTGAGGAGCTGGAGGGCAACGTCGAGTCGTGGCGGGGCAGAGAGTTGGTCAAGTTGCAGCTTCAGGCGCGTGGGGTTGTGACGTGTCTGGGTGGTGAGCAAGATTCGATTGACTTGCTGGAGAGTGCTTTTCAGGTTCTGTGCAAGGTGCGTAGTTTCCTATGATATCTTTTCTCCAAGCCGAGTAGATCCTGTGTATGCTGATAGTGCTATACAGCTTCAAACGAATGCTTTCAGTGTGTCCGAGGATGAGACTGATGGCGTTTACTTGGACACAACACTTGCCATGATGAATCACTCATGCAGCCCCAATGCCGTGGTCCAATTCGATGGCAGGTCAGCCTCGCTCCGCGCAATGGCTTTCATCGAGCCCGGGGATGAGGTCGAAATATCTTACATCGGTAAGTTGTCGTGAAAGAAGTCGCCTTCAGGACTGTCTCATAAAAGGACATCAGCTAAGCGATTACAGACGAAACGCAGCCAAAGAGCAAAAGACATGAAAACCTGAGTTCGTATTACTTTGATTGCAAGTGCTTCAAGTGTATCGAAGACCTGGACGAGTATCAGGTCGCCCAGAAGGATCCGAGAGTTGCTAAGCTGAATGAGCTGAGTGCAACACCTGATACCGAGAGATTCCAGCACCCTCAGGTGGCCGACAAAGACAGATTGCGGCAAGCCATTGAAGTCCAAAAGCTTCTGGAGATGTTTACAGCGCAAGTCCGCCACACGGAACCGACAGCAAAGCACAAGTGGCTGAGGAAGGCGTACAAGTCGGCCTCGTGGTTTCCCGAGAATGGCCGATGGGCCATTGAGCCCTTTGCTCAATTCGTTGATGAGGCGGCAGTCTATTATGGGAAAACCCGGGGCAACCACGAATGCGCCTTGGCCATCGCCTGTCTGGTGGCGTACGAGATCGAACCGTACAAACATCCCATCCCCTTTCACGTCGAGAGAATAAGAGGTCTCTCCGCCATTGCCAATGAGCTGTCTCACACAGCGCCTGAACCGGAAAAGCTGGCAAAGCTGGCGAGGGACATGGCTGCGAAGAAGAAGTTCTCGGCCGCCGGCGTCAGAGTATTGGAGGATCTCGACCAGGTGTCGATGTGCCAGATGATTTTGTCCTTGATCAATGCGTACAAGGATCGGGGTCCAAAGGTGGACTGGGACGGGATTAGCATGTTCAGACGGATGATTGCTGAAATTGAGAGCCTTCCGGGCAGGGACAGGGAGAACAGCTTGATCAACGCGTGGATCATGGATCCAAAGGGAATGGATCAATTCTTGCGTTACGCTCTCGTAGAGCCGCTCAAGGCGTTGTCTGAGCTCGGAAAAGCTGTGTTAGAGGTGGACTTGGGCGAGGACCGCGATTTGTCCGCTAATTGATACCCCTGAACGAGATCAAAGTTGAATACAAACATCCATTGTTACTACTGAGCTACCTATAGGAGTGTCAAAGCTTGCTGTCCGCGGGCAAAGAAGCCCTTGGTTTCTTGATACTCCTCTTGTCAATGGCACCCGATCTGGCGAGTCTTGGGCTTTTGTTACCTTGACCAGCTCCGGCCACTTTCTCTGCTGGTGCCTTTCGTTTGCGGCTCGTAGGTTGCGAGACTTTGAGTGAGGCTGGAGTGGCTTCGTTGAAAACCTTGGCGGGTGCTTCCTGATGCAATTCATCCGACATTGGATAAGCATCGTTCGGTGACCCGGATGTGGCCGCGCTCTTGGATTGCTGAATTGAAGCGAGCTGCAATTCCTCGCAAGGAGAGATATGCTCTGCACTCGCCTCCAGACGCTGTATCCTACTCTTGAAGATATCAAACTCCATCTGCAATGTCTCCACTTGACTTGCCCGAGCTCCAATCTTGGTCATGTTGCTGGTCAAGATATCCAATTCTCGCGACGGTATTTGCTGCTTTGACAGGTCGACTTTCTTTTTGCCGTCCTGATCCATAATCTGTCTCAGCTGCCCCAACTCAATTCGTAAAGTGGCTGTTTCCTTGGCACTGTTCATGTTCATGTCGAGGATGTTTTTCACGGTTTCATTCATTTTTGCCATATTCGCTTGTAGGCCCAGGTCAGCGTTTTCGAGCTTCTTGTAATCTTTTCGCGAGATCAGGAGATCGTTTCGGAGCTCAACATTCTCCCTCTTAACTTCTTCCGAGAGCTTCTTCATCTCAGAGATGGCAGCGTTTGCGGTCCGAACCTGGCTCTCCAATCGAGACAGTTTGGGACTGTTTTGTGTCGTGTATTCCCCACTGGATACTTCAATCTTAACAGATTTCAAGTCAGCTTTGTGAAGATCGAAGTCATTCTGAAGTTGGTCCAGAGTCGAATTGAGCTTTGCCATCTCCTTTTCGATGCGAGAAACAGCGCTGTCAAATTGGGACACGACTTGGAAACCGGCAGTATCTATTCTGTCAATGCTCTCCCGCTGCGCATCGAGATCTACTCGCAAACGAGAGAAATCGATGTTCTCAGAATTTGGCGACCCATGCCCAGGCCCAAATCCCTTACCAGAATCGGGATTGAAATGATCGTTCGCCGGGTACGATCCGGGGCGAGAGTCACTTCGGAGCTTCAATTTGCGGCGCACATTGAGCTCTACCGGCTTGCCATTCTTCTTGAGAAATACAACAGAGGTCTTTTTGAGAAGTATTTGCGAGCTACCTTGGGTGAGTAGGGGTATAGTCGAGTCGCGAGGTCGACTTACTCGTGAAGCGCATGATTGACTGGGCTACTTAGACACATGAGGCCGATGACATTATCACATTTGGCGCAAGCGACATCTTGAAGCTCGCTGCAAGAGATCAGTCTACCGATTCGCAAAGAGAAAAAGGTGAATGGTCCCTTACCACTCGGCAACGAGGTACCCTGCTTCACCAATCCTCGTGGGTTCCTTGGCGACCATCTGAGTATTGCCTTGGGCCTCAATCGTAGGACTGAAATAAGATTTTCCAACCTGAGTCCACAAATTGAAGAAAGTTGCCAATATTGCTTGACAGCTTGCGCACTTGCACTGTATGATTTCCATTTTGGTGAAGGCTCAACTGACTTGCGATGGTACGGATCTGTGAACTTGAGGCTTTCCCGACGCCAAGGGTATATGTTTGGTAGCTGTTGGCTCAGGAATTGTATGACGTGCGACATAGAGGGAAGGTTGCTTCCCATTGAATCACGGCGAAGGACGAAGGGTACCTCATAGCAAGGTAGAGTGAAACTGCAACAGAATGCGACAGGCAATCCTTCTATTTGCCTGCTCGTGCCTACCTCATTTCAGTCCCTGTCGACTGGGAAGGAGCTCGAGGCAGGGGGTCCCTGACAGTTGACGCTTATCTTATCTTACACCCAGCCGATTGGCTCGCCCCGCAAAACCACCTAACAATGGGAATCAACGGTCGCATTTGTGCTTTCCATGTCAGGGAACTTTTTTTCTGAGCTGCCGTTTGAAAATCCACCCCAACACACCTACAAACACGCCTCGATTATCCAACGCGGCGCAATTCGATCCACCGCCACTGAACCTCCTGAACCTCTCTCAATTACCGTCGGCAGCAATTGGACGAGAGGCATCATGGGGAAGCGCCGTAGAAATCGCGACGAAGGCGGAGAGGGTGCCATTGTCGCCTCCGATAATGTCCCCGTAACGACCTCCCAGACCCACGAAGCGACTGCCGAAGCCGAGACAGGGAATGGCGAGAACAGTTCTCGAGAGAGTTCCTCGAATACTCAAAGTAGTGGCAGCTTGAAGAGAAGTGCTCCTGGCGATGATGACGAAGGATGGACCAAAGTCGAGCGATCCAGCAAAAAACGCAAGAAGGTCCCCCGCGAGGGGTCCAACAACTATCCCGCAATTACCTTCTCCACAAGCGCAAAGCTGTTTTCCAAGATCAACCTCGCTATGCTTCGCGACCTTGTCCTGTACATATTCGCCGATGGAACGGGCCCGAACTGGGTTTCTGTCTCTCACCGACCAAACTTCAGAAAGATCGTTGTGTTGATGGTGCCTGGATTGGAGGAAGCCATGTTCAAGGAGGGGGTGAATTTCGACAATTACACATCTGGCCCAGCTAGGAACCAGGACCGGACCGAAACAACGCCTGACGATTACTACCCACGAGCTCTTACCGCAGACCAGCTGCCGGTTGCGCTTCAGGGATTCGCCAAAATGTTCCCTCACTTATGGCCTGTCAAGGCACCTGGTGACGACAAGTACATGAAACTCCACTCGCCCATGGGAACGTTTCTGACGGCACCAATGCCTAAGAACAAGGATGACAGGAAGGGCCCTAAACCGGCAAGAGAGCCTTCGGGATGGAAGAATGAGCGAACCCGTATTACCGAGTTCCTTGCATCACTCGAAGAGCTCGAGACCGCTGGCCATCTCATCCATCCAGCACTCATCGAGAACGAGGAGAGGAAGGCGGCCTTCAAGGTTCCCGAAGGATGGGCAATCTCTAAAGTTGACAAGCTCGAAGACGGCGAGGTGCCTGAGGCGGAGATCGAAAGCGGTAGCGTCACCGCTGGTCGAGAATGCCTTGCCTTGGATTGCGAGATGTGCATGACAGGAGAGAGTGAATACTCACTTACCCGCATCAGCGTCATATCTTGGTCGGGCGAGCTCATCATGGACGAACTGGTGAAGCCAGAAAAGCCCATTATCGACTACGTCACCCGATTTTCCGGCATCACGGAGGAGATGCTGAAGCCAGTCACGACCACATTAAAGGATATCCAACAGAAGTTGGTTGAGCTCATCACTCCGCGAACGATCCTGATTGGACACTCGCTCGAGTCTGACTTGAAGGCCCTGCGATTCTCACACCCTTTCATTGTCGATACCTCATTAATCTACCCCCATCCTAGAGGGCCCCCTCTGAAGGCGTCATTGAAGTGGCTTACTCAGAAGTATGTCAACCGCGAAATTCAAAAAGGTGGTGCCAACGGACACAATCCCATTGAAGACTCCCGCGCCTGTCTCGATCTCGTCAGACAGAAGTGCGAAAAGGGCAAGTTGTGGGGCGCATCTGATTCTCAAGGTGAGAACTTGTTTCGCCGGCTAGCAAGAGCCGGTACTGCGTACAAGGCACAGGGCGGAGATGCAGGCGGCTTGGTCACTGGAAAGACAAGCGCTGCCGTAGATTGGGGCGAACCGTCCAAGGGTCCTGGTGCCGGAGCAACCTATCAAATAGGCTGCAAGTCCGATGCGGACGTTGTCAACGGCGTTATCCGTGCTGTGAAGGGAGATCCTGATGGACTGGAGATTCCCGGTGGTGGTGTCGACTTCGTTTGGGGCCGGATGCGAGAGCTCGAGGCGTTGCAAGGGTGGTGGAACAAGAATCGGGTCGAAAGTGCCAGCAGTGACGGAGGCCCTCCTCCTTTGGACAAGACCCAATTCGAAGGAAAGCTCGGCGGATCACCTCTTGAACAGTGCTTGGCCCGCCTGTCAGTCTCTCTTCAAGCTATCCACGAGAGCCTTCCGCCCTGCACGGCTTTTATTGTGTACACTGGCTCTGGAGATCCTCGCGAGATGAGCAGGCTTCAGGCCATACACACGCAGTGGAAGAGAGAGTATAACACCCCGGGAAAGAAGTGGGATCAACTGTCAGTCAAATGGACGGATGAGGAGGAGCAGGCTCTCCGACGCGCTGTTATTAAGGCTCGTCAGAGTATCGGCTTCATTGGGGTGAAATAGTCACCAGGAGGGCTTATGATCACAGAGCCACTACGTTTCTTGCAAAACGAGAACGCTACATGGCATTCTATAGATCTATCTAGAGGATTGAACATGGTCCGCAGACGGAGGACTCACGAACGAGCATTCGTACATGATACCCATAGCTTAGGTTATGACATAGAAAACTACGGGCAGCTGAGAGGAGATGTTGCCTTGATATTCGATGAACGGTGCGAAGGTAGGGAGACAGTGAACTGACAGAAAAGAGTTCCATCAGGGTCCAGCTAAGATAGCTGATGATATTATGGTTGAAGGCCGGCTATCTACATCGCGGTTGTCGGATTAAATTGCCTAAAGAGGAGCATAAAGGTGTTGAAGCCCAGCAGTGACATGTTTCTTGTACACCCATGCGCCACTCACATGCGCGGTTCGGAGTCCAGAGCTCCAAACGAACTGGGGTCAGCGCTCACCCCACTGTCGTTTTCTCTCACCTTTGATGACCTGATTGGCTACCCCGCCTCCGGCTGCGGAGAAAGATATCAACCGTGTGCCGCGCCTAAGCCCCCCGCCGGCCTGCCTCGGTATCTTCTCGGAGACGCAGCCGCTCGAGGTTGGCTGAATTACAAACCAGTCACATCCCACCTGTCTACCAACTCAAGCCCAACCAACTTTTACCCGGGTTCTCCAGACATCGAACTTTCCCACGGTTCTAGAGCAACCTTCTCTATATACACCTCCATTACGGTTGCCACAATATCGAATCGAGAAGCCCGGCTTCCTACCCTTCACAATGTCGTTTATGGGTGGCGCAGAATGCTCGACCTCCGGCAACCCCCTCAGCCAATTCCAAAAGCATGTCCAAGATGACAAGACTCTTCAGAGAGATAGACTGGTGCAAAGGGGCCCTAATGCGCTTGCTGGTGGCTTCCGAAGCGCCGGCGCAAGCACCCCGCAGGATGAGGTACGCATATAACGGACTGCCAAAGTTTCGGACTCCTTTGAACTAACTTGCCCTGACAGATGATGAATGGTTTCCTTAACAAAGCCCCAGGTCTCCAGCAAGAACTTCCCATGCAAAATGGCGCTGTCCGAATCGATCCGAACCAGGGAGTCCACCTCCGCGCGAACTCAACATCACCGACGTGGGCTGGTGACTTCCAGAACCAAGCCGCCATGGAGTCGGCATTCCAACAGCCCCCCGGAACCCAATTCAGCCCCGAAGATTTTGCGCGCTTCAGACAGATGAATCAGCAACCTTCATCGGCGAGAGCAAGTCCCATGCCTGGCCAAATGGCTCAACAGCCAAGAATGGGCATGGGGATGGGTATGGGTATGGGAATGGGCATGGGAATGGGATACAACAGCATGATGGGCCAGCCCACGTTTCAACCCATGTACCAGCAACCGATGCAACAACAACAAGAGGACGCCAAGGGAAAGGGAAAGTTAGTAGAGCTTGACGACAACAAGTGGGAGGAACAGTTCGCCCAGATGGAGTTGCAGGAGAAGGAGGAGCAAGAGGCTAAGGCTGCGGAGCCTGAACTGGACGAAATGGACAGGGCAATGCAGAGTGAGACAGGTTTTGGCGACTTCGAATCAATATGGAAAGGAATCCAGGCTGAAACTGCTGCAGCAAGAGGCATGGTCGACGATTCGACTTTCGACAAATTCGACAGCGAGGACTGGGGTCCAGATTTCACCGGCATGAACGGCGACTGGGGCAGACTCGGCGATCCCGTCATCGAGAACTATCTCTTTGAAGAGGACAATTTCTTCAGCGAGGAGAAGAACGCATTCGAGGAGGGTGTCCGCATCATGCGCGAGGGGGGAAACCTCTCACTAGCGGCTCTCGCGTTCGAAGCTGCAGTCCAGCAAAACCCGCAGCACACCGAGGCGTGGGTGTACCTTGGCTCGGCGCAGGCGCAGAACGAGAAGGAGACGGCGGCTATTCGCGCGCTTGAGCAAGCACTCAAGCAAGATCCCAACAACCTCGCCGCCCTCATGGGTCTGGCTGTCTCGTACACCAACGAGGGCTACGACAGCACTGCCTACCGCACACTCGAGCGGTGGCTTTCCGTCAAATACCCGCAGATTATCGCACCGACTGACTTGCATCCCATGGCGGAGATGGGCTTCACTGACCGGCAGCAACTGCATGACAAGGTTACCGGACTGTTCATCAAGGCGGCACAGCTCAGCCCAGACGGCGAACACATGGACCCCGACGTCCAGGTCGGTCTGGGCGTCCTCTTCTACGGCGCCGAAGAGTATGACAAGGCCGTCGACTGCTTCACGGCCGCCCTCCACTCCTCGGAGCTCGGAGCTTCAAACCAGCAGGAACAGCTGCACCTGCTCTGGAACCGTCTGGGCGCCACCCTCGCCAACTCGGGCCGCTCCGAGGAGGCCATCGCGGCGTACGAGAAGGCGCTGAGCATCCACCCCAACTTTGTCCGCGCGCGTTACAACCTGGGTGTAAGCTGCATCAACATCGGGTGCCACGCCGAGGCGGCCTCGCACTTCCTCGCCGCGCTCAACATGCACAAGGCCATCGAGAAGAGCGGCCGCAACATGGCGTACGAGATTTTGGGCGGCGGCGAGGGCTCCAGGGGCGGCGCCAACACGGCGCAGCTCGACGAGCAGATTGACCGCATGACGGCGCAGAACCGGAGCACGACCCTGTACGATACCCTGAGGAGAGTGTTTACCCAGATGGGTCGCCGGGATCTGGCCGAGAAGACCGTTGCGGGTGTAGATCCCGAGATCTTTAGGGGCGAGTTCGACTTTTAGAGGGTTTCTGGATTCGGTTGCATAATACTCTCATCAAACAGACAAAAAAGGGCTGCCTCGAGGACTGGGATGTAGCATTATAGCGGGTGGAAAAGAATGAATGAGACGACGCCTTTGACGAGAGCATCCATATCGCTGTTACATTATGTCGTTGCATGGATCGTGGGGATTCTTATCACACTATGAATTTGACCAAATCATGTCGCCACCAATGTTCAAAGGCATAGTACTTGTAAAAAAGGTCGATTCTAACTAAGGGGTATTTGGAGACTGCCGTCAATGCGACTACTATTCTGGGCTTTCGATCCCCTCTTTCCTTGCCAACTGTGACCTCGACGTCAAACTGGCTCGAAGTGGCTGGTCAATATAAAAACAAAGCTTCTATCCATCACTTCTTGGTCCCTCCGCCGCTATTGTTGCCACCGCCGCTGCCGCCGCCGCTGTTGCTACTGCTGCCTCCGCCGCTGCTACCCCCCGAGGCGCCTCCCCAGTTGTTGGCCTTGGTGCCTCCGTGGCTTAGGGTGCCTTTGCACTTGGCCGGATCCTGCCAGGGGGGGTTGGTGGGATCGTGGTAGTAGATTGGGGTTGTCTTCTTGCCTGACATGTTTGCTTTGAACTTTGAAAAAGCGAAATGTTTTGGTATAGATTTTATGGATGTGAGAGATTCGTGGGAGGAGATCTTTGAGATGTGGTTATGCTGGGTGATGTATTGGATTGGTACTGGTTGTATTGGATGTAGAGGCTGAGTGATGGATTGTGTTCAGAATGGTACTATTCAAAACTATCTGCCAAGTTTGGCTTGTTTAATACGTGCTTGGCTCTGTTCGTGTCGGCTTTGGTGACTGGGTTGAATGTGGATGGTGAATATATCTGCGAGATACCAGATGGAAGTCAACACCTGACATTGACACTTGTCTACACTACATAATGGACACCATTCACACTTGCAATGTTGCCTTCTTCTCTTATTCAATGGACCCCGCTTTGTCTTGCTATTTTCAGCCTTGTTCATAGGCCATGATCCATTCTGTTTGTCTTTCGCTTTCTAAGTTTTCGTGGCGTACCATGGAGCTCACTGTATATGACTCAAACAGTCAGTGTCTTTGAAAACCTAACATACGGTCAGTATCGGAAGAGAGCAATGTGCCTGGAGATCATGATGGTGAGTCTAGTGCATTCGAGTTACCCCCGCACAGAATTATATCCCGGCAGCCCTTTGAGAAGCCTGCCAACATGTCCGACTCAACAATTGCCCGTGCCTCTCTACCGTATGATTAGAAGACTGATAACTACGGTATACCTCTGAGCGCTGCTGATGGTTCAGCTCAACATGCTCTACTCGCCCAGTCCCGTGGCTACTTGTTGCATTGAGAATGAAAGTTAAAGGTAGAATGACCCTGATCAGCCGCACTAATGATCATTGCTTCATTGAAAGGCATTTATATGTATTGGCTACTGTCCAGGCCCGTTAAGATAGAAGATAGTGAGCGTCTAGGTCTTCTTAAGACTGATCAGAATGACCCACAATAGAGTGCCAAACAGCGGTAAACAAATCGCTATACCAAGTCTCCCAAACTCCTATAGCATCAATATAACCTGCGCAGTAAACCCCACCGAGTGTCTCGTTCGTCATATAAATAAGGACGCAGAGCCTAGAGACAGTACCGTACGGTTCCAAACCTAATCAAACACCCTAAGTAACCCAACATGTCTTACACTTCGAGCATGAAATGCTTCATCTCCTCAACACCAACATTCCTATCGTCACCGAGCAGATTAGCCTCCCGTCATAATCTCATAGACTTCTCCACCAGAAATACACCGGGATTCAATAGGGACAATACTGACATAGTGAGAAACATCCTCGCGAAATCGTCCACATCCGCCGGCCGCATGATCTTGGCGACGCCCTGCACGAAGAAACTGTTGACTAAGAACATGGGCTTCTCGCGCCACGCAGTGAAGAACGCCGGCGAAGACTGAGCGTCCCAGAGGTGCCTCGAGAAGGTCCAGCGGTGCGGGATCAGCCACGGACCGAGGTCAGGATCTGAACACAGTCAATATCAATTGCAAAGGAAAAAGGGGCGGCGGGCATGAGAGAAAGAAAATGGAAGCCTTACCAAAATCACCAGCACTCTTGAGCATCTGATACATGCTCGTAAACACATACCCCATCAACACCGTCCGCCGCACACACTCGTTGAAAATCCACACCTCCCACGACCGCGGCGGCCTCCCGCGCATCGCGCCGTCATCTAGCAGATGAACCTCGTCAAAGTTGTCCCTCAACCCCTCGAGGTCCTTTAACCACTTCTCGAGGACGCCCATGTCCCGCTCCGCCTGCGCGCGCAGCGCTATGTCGCCGTCGAAGCACCGCACGGTTTGGATCAGAAACAGAGCCTGCGCCCTCGCGAGCTTCTCGTGCCCCGTGATGTTGCTCCCTGCTGCTGCTGTCGCCGTCGTCGATGATGTCGTCGTCGTCGAGGAGTCCTTGGCGTTGACAGTGCTACCACTACCGCTCTTGAGAATCTCGTTGGCGCCCTCGCAGAGGGCGCGGATCACCCAGTCCTTGTTGGACTCCGTCATGCCCACGTACGCCGAGATGGCAGTGTAGGCCGCCATCAGGGGCCTAGGCGTCTCGCGGACGCCGCGGTAGAGGTGCCGGTGGAGGAAGGGGGTCTGCTTGGTCTGGGCGAAGACGACGTGCATGTTCTTGACAATGCTGACGAGGTGGCCGATGCGGGAGTTTGGTTCGTGGATTTGCCATGGTTGGAAGCCACCCTGTGAAGCTGGCGTGAGTATTTCATCCCGCGGACATGCTTGAGGTAGGTCTGGCGACGAAGAGAGGAAAGGAAAAGAGAAATGTTGCTCTGACGGATAACGAACACGAAATAACGTGTCAAGGAAGATAGGTATGAAGAGAAGTGAGGTAATGCGAGATATAAGAACCACAACAAACGAGAAGAACTTCATCAACTTACGCATGCTTCCCCCATCTCGTTATCCCAGTCACATGGGCTCAGCTGGTTAATCTCGGGCAGCATGGTCTTCTGCACGATGGGCGTCAACGGCGTCTCCCAAAGCTGGAGCTCGCCGCCGGCCGTCGGGTCCGCGTTCAGGAAATCCATGACCGAGTTAAAGTCGAACGGCGCGTTTGCGGCATTCAAGTCGAGGTTCAGCGACGACGTCGACGGCACCGACGTGGCGTTGTCGATGTTGCTCCCGCTGTTGTTACCGCTGCCGATGCCGCTGTGGATGTCCTCCGTCATCACTATTGTCGGGAGACCGCCGTCGAGGTAGGATGACGACGACGCGGGCGTGGGCTGCTGCTGGAGTTGAGGTTGGTGATGGTGATGTTGTTGTTGTTGTTGGTGTTGAAGATGATGATCGGTGAGTGTGTTAAAGTCAAAGGGAGGAAGGTCATCGTTGATGTTTCCGCAGTCCTCCTCAATGTCCATGGCCTGGAGGGTGTCGTCTGGGTTACTGATCATACCCCCGGCGGAGGAAGAGGAGTCGCCCCGGCCGCCGAGGCTTCCAACTCCAACACCACCACTACCACCATTGCCATTTCCATTGGCAGAGGCGGGCGGCAGGTTCTGGTACACACACGAAAAGTTCTTCTCGCTACAGCGGGTGCAGCGCGGGGTCCGCTTGTCGCAGCGGCGCTTGCTCCGGACGCAGGCGTTGCAGCTCTTCTGGCGGGACTTGTCCGCCGCGTCCGCCAGATCACTCATCGCTTTCAGGCCTTCGGCGGACATTTTTTTCCTCTTTCTGTTCTGCTGCTGCTGATGCTGATGCGATTTCTGGGTCTGATGACCAGCTACTGTTTCTTGTTCTGCTGCTGCTGCGTCTGCTTCTGCGGCGGCAGCGTCGGGTCTTGGACTGTGGAGAGAAGGGGAAGAGACAGGAGCAGTGGCGGCGGCGGATAACAGATGGGTCGGCACGGCCAGCTGGATCCGATTGACCATGGGGGAAGGGAAACGGAGGAAAGATGGAAAAAAGTGGTAAGAGTGGAAATATGCGATATCACGATTCGAAATCCTCTCTCGTATCCCTCTCTCTCTCTGTCTGTATCTCGTGCCTTTCAGAAAAGGGATTCAAGGCAGTCAGCTTACGCGGTCTAATCGTCGTCGGGGGGCTGCGTTGCGTCCGCTGATCCAGTGACAGTGTAAGGTACTCTCTGCAAGACGTCCAGGTTTCTCGGAAAGGAAGCGAATGGTTGTTCGACCCCCGTTCGAGACCGGTGGGAATGTGGGATGAAGTTGCGGAGTAGGCGTCAAACTCCGCTCCGCGTAAGCACAAAAGTCCGCCAGCTGCGGCCCCACACCACGGCCGTCAGACGGTCGGTTTCGCGCCCAGCCAATCCGAAACTCCGCAGTGAAGCTTTCCCGAAACTCCGCAGCCCATTTACCGGCCCCGTGTCTACGGCGTCCCATTACCACCAACTCTGTTATGTACACCTTTTCTCGGCCCTCACTTCAATCTCAATGATGCCACATGGTCCAACAGCCATGAGCAAATGGAATGCGTGACTTTGCTCGCCCTCACACCAGCTTTCCTAGCCCAACCTTCCCTCTCTTCCTCTCAAAAGCCATCCGTTTGCGGAAGTTGATGCCTTTCCAGATAACCTCATGGCGTCCGCTCGAAAGTGCGTGGTCTGATAAAGTCACATGAGGGAGAGGAGAAAAAGCCATCACAACCATCGAACGTGGTTTAAAAAAATAGAACAGGGCGAGACCTTCGCGCTTTCCAGTGAGTCACCAGCATCAAGCGATTCGCACGACTCCTTCCGGAGTGCCCATCCCCACTCCTCGTTTTTGTCGAAGAGGGGGGATTACCCATTCCAGGCAATACTAGAGCCTTTTCAGCCGCGGTCAAGCTGCGATGATATTCCGTTATCGTCCAGAAAAAGATCATTGTCATCTTGTCTGCTTGCAACAGAGACATTATCCCACGCGGGCCACGCCTGGCCGCCATCCCATCCCCTCTCCCACCCTTTTCCCTCCTTTAGCCACGAGATCTTTTCCCTCGCGGGAAAACACGCACACATACTACAACAAAAAGCAGAAGTGATATGCAGAGCATGGTCCCATCAATAGGAGCCTAGATGACGTCTCGCGGCCCGAGAGTCCTCGCCTCCTCTCACGATCCGAACCACCAAAAGCTGTTTTCAGGTCGTACAAGAGATCCAGCCCCCTTCCTTCCCGGACACCGCTACACAATGGACCTCCAGACCGACCGACCGACCGACCGCCGCCGCCTCTTCTCCTCGCATCTGCACACTCCGCGGACGCCTTTCTCCAAAGATCACCATGATCAACACCCCAGAACCAGGAGCAGCTCACTGCGTCGAGACCTCTAGACCACGTTTAGCTCTCACTCATTCACTCAATTGACCGAACCGTTGAAGGGGAAACAGAACAACACCCCCTTGCCACGGGCTCGCCGTGAAGATTGATTCCTCCTCACACCCGTGAGCCAAACCGCCGGGTCCCGACCTCCCCTCCATCACCATCGGACAACCTCAGCTTCAGCCTCGAGCTTCAGCCAGTTCTCGATTGTTACACGCCTCGCCAGCGCCGACACCGATCACGAGAACAGAACTTAGGAGGCGCAAATCTCTCCAATCCGTTCGAAGAAACAATCCATTATTAGCACCGCTCTCTTTCCGACCTTGTTGGAATCCGCAGAGGTAATCTTCGCCAAGGAGCCTGTCTCCTCCAAACCCCATCGTTTGAGGCGTCGCGCGCCGGTCCTCCTCTATTCTCCGTCGCCCGCGCCCTACACTTCCCCATCACCCTATACACCACCCCTTCTTCCCCCCTCTGACGACCTTACATTTCAAGGAGAAGACTAAAAACCCCAAGATCGAGTTAGTCCGCGCGAGCGCAACCATATCCTGTCAGATCTAAGAAAGAAAATAAGCCTCAAGCCACCATCTCGCTTTAAAAATCCCACGCTTACCCGTACCTTTCCTAACCCTTTCCTTCGCGCTTGGCCTTGGCCGACCGCCCTCCCAACCACCAACCACTTTCGGATCCAAGTATCCGTAAATGGTGTTTCCCCAAACAGACAGCGCGAAGGAAGAGGAGGAGTCCGGTTCCCGCATGCGGCGCAACGGGACCTACCGTACGTGCAAATTGAGGTTTCGTACGCCCAGTATAGGTAAGCACCTAGGTAATCCATCAAACAACGGAGGATGCGGAGGGGGGACCCAGGGTCGAAGGATTGATCAAGATGGCGAGAAAAAAACATGCATAGACGCTACACTACTCCAGCTGCCGCCCAAAGGTGCAACCCCGCTCATACTTACTCCCACCTTAGCTTGAGCAGGTAGGTAGCCGTACAATGAAGATTGGGAAAATGGGGACGGACACCCGTGGCGCCGTGTTTGATGGGGGTGGGCAAGCCAACAAAACGGTGTGCAAAAGCGAGAGATAGAGACAGAGAGAGTGCTCGACATAGCTACATTTTCTTTCTCCCCGGGTGGCTGGGACACAAAACGATCCCAAGGGGAGCTGTGTAGCGTTGTGCAACACACACAGGCCGAGAAGTAAGTGTGATAATGACGATAGATGGGAAAAGGGGAAGAGTGAACAGATCGTCTGCAAGCTCCCTTGCCTCCAGGTCGGGCAAAAGCCCACCGTAAGCCACGACGTCCAACTTGATTCCGCATGAGTTGTTTCAAAAATGAAGCGGGTTTACCTATCGCGAGCACTCATCGTTCGGGGACGCCATCCTTCTCAGCCCTCTCTGTTTTCCCGTGTCGCCTGGAAATAGTTCCAACCGTGGATCCTGAGGGAGAAGAAATCTTCAAATGGGTTTCCCACAGCACGCCACCCCATCGTGAGGGTCGTCCGTGACAGCAAAACCAGGTAGTTTAAAATGACGATTATCGGCTGAGGCTTGCCCTCGCGGACCCGGACCGAGTGCCCGGACGCGGGCGGCAAGGCGGGGAAAGTCGAGAACGGACCCTCGGACGGGGGAGGATTGGTTGGGGGGGGGGGGGGCACTCTCTGATCCCCGGTGGCTGGCTTTCCCCCCCCAACGCGCTGTTGCACAGGCCCGATTGCTTCAAAGGGGGAGCATGGCAAACCGCTTTCTTCTTTCTTCTTGGATCTTGGGGATTGCTGGTTTACTGATCGCCAATCTCCCGCCCTCGCGTGCCTCTGGATCGTGCATGGTCGCACAAATGCCGCTACAGAGCAAATGAAAGGATCCGTCGGGAGGTCCTTGTGCCATCTGGACTCGGGTGAACCCCCATTGTCGTGGCACCGCGGCAGGCGAAATCTTTCTCTCTCTCTCTCTCTCTCTCTCTCTCTCTCTCTCTCCCAGGGCCGCGGCCGGCCCCCTTGAGATTGGCCCCAGTACCCGATCCACGCCCCGAAGCCCATGCCGGTACCCATGATCACCCATCAAGTGAACCTCTCAGGAAACATTTGTCTGGATACCGATGGTGTGGGTGGGAACGACCCTCCACACGAGAAACCCTCCCTCGTTACCGGCCAAAGGAGTGGCCGGGGAAGGGCGCCAACTGGGACGCGAAATCTAGACAGCTTTGATGCAGGTAGCCGGCGGACGCACACCGCGCCACGAGGAAGAGAGCAACCGCCGCAAACAGGTTTTCGTCGCACAGCTTGCAATGTCTCAGACACCTCTGCCAATATGTGAGTTGTGGCGGTCCAGTGCACATTGAGATGTACATACACGCCTTCCCCGAAAACCAAACAGTCGAGAGACAACCCTGTTGCGTCGTCCATCGTTTCCTTGGGCAGGCACGTAGAGTGAATGATAGATCATTCTGCCTTGTCCCATCCTTGCCTACTAGGGCCAAGCTGACCCAGATGGTGTCGTTGACAGATCGGAAAAAAACAAGATCTCTCGGTCAAAGCGTAGAGACCGTCTCGTGTCAAGCAAGCTGCAAAGCAAAAAAGAAAAGGCCTCGCTTGGGTGTACCCCTCGAGTCTAAGTGGTGACTTCCTCGACCTACAACTAGTAGATCTCGTACCCGCACCGTGCCGCACCTGATTGCAAAAGACAACGCCCAACGAAGGCTTGGGTGCCTGGGAAGAGGACTTGGCGAAGTTATCAGTGTGAAAGACACAAATACCGATTCATAGGTCGACGATCGATGAACTAAAGTCGAACTCGTATCTGCCCGTACTTCTTCCCAGCTCGTAGGGATCTAGATCTCGTAGACTGCTTGCCTCGGAAGATGCTTTGCGGGGATGGAGCTCTTGGCCCTATCACCTGCTTCCTTCTGCCCAGAATATGATTCGTTGCTTACGAGGGCAGCGTGCAGGTCTTCGACACAGCTGTATTCCTGGTCGCCGAACCTACGACGAATCAGCAAGAAGAAGCACCTTCAGATAGCATGAATCGAATGCCAGAATAGACTTGTTTCGCTGTCCTGGCTGCCCCTGTTTCGTCATCCAGCCGCCGACGCAGCACCTGTAGTGGCGATGACCTTCAAAGATCCCCCATCAATTGAGCGCCAGGATCATTCGCTGCTCTGTGCCAGCAAGGGTAAACCTTCCTGGTGTAGATCATCAGGCCTAGACAACCACAAAGTTGCAACCACCTCCCTCAAGCTGAGCAATTCAACCGTCCCCCTCTAGTGGTTGCTATCTTCAACGAATACTTCACGGGATCGACCCCAAGAATAGGATAGGGTTATGTTCCCACATGAAATCCAAAGAGGTCCGCATGCCTGGTTCGCGCGCAAGTAAGAGTTAAGCATCACGCCATGTTTTGACCGTTTGTCCATCGTTGCTGTTTGTGACTGTGCGTGAGACATCGTCCGATAGCCGCAAGAGCTAAAAGCCGTTGACGGCGTGTACGGCGCCCTCACGAGCAATCAACTGGCGCTTTTCTCGCCCTCTCAATCGATAGTCTGCTGTGGGACCTGAGCTCGACCTGCCTGTAGAATGGGGCGACCGAGGATATTCGAGGAAAGAATAGAGTCCTAGCCATCACTCAAACCAACTCTGAGCGCAGGCCGAGCCACCGTGCAGGTGCCGTCTGAGAATCGCTTAAGGATTGTACGTTGTATGGGTTGAAAGCTTGAAGCTTAGATGGAGAGAAATGTATCATGTATCGGTACATGAACTCGTCATCTGAACTTTCGCAGTACGACGGTGCCTGGTCACAACAGCTATTCCGTGCATGTGGCGGACAAAAGCCCGAATTTCTCAGTTTCACACATGTTTGTTGGCTTAGCCAGGCAGCGTTCGGCTAGGAAACGTCCTTGTTGGCGATATGGGACCATGTGTAGCTAAGGCCGTGGGTCATATGAAGTGAACTCGAGGAATGTAAGTGACCAGGTATCGAACCATTTGTTGAATGGTTCTTCTGTCGTAGCCATGAGCCTGGTGACCAACCGTTAAATTCGGATGCGACATATGCGTATATT